TTCCACGTGCCATGTCTAATGGATGTCAATACTGGCAACTTTCTGGAGCCTACGGGAAAATTTTGCCCGTGCCTACGAGGTCGGTTTTACCCCACACAAAAATTGGCCTTGTGTTGCATCCTGCCTTGTGGGTAGGTTAGATAAATAATCTACCGTTGGAGATTCACTGTTGAATTCACTTCTGGCGTTTGACTACTTCTTCTACGCGCTTCTGGCGAATCTTATATGTGTTGTTCTTGTCTTGTATTATCGTCCATTACCAACCTTCGTTTGATTATTCTATTCAGTAACCTTCGCTAGATTACAACATTGAACCAATTAAACGACAAAAGAGAACAGATTCAATTTAATTCAAGATTCAAATAGGGTTAGGTTTAATATTTCACCGCTTGATTGTCAAAAAGAATTCAAATTAAATTTGAAAATTTCTTTTTTATTCGAAGAGGGTTTTAATGCCTTCGATATATATATATATATATATATATATATATATATATATATATATATTGAACAATAAGAAAATAAAAAAATTAAAAAAATTAATAAAAAAATTAAAATCTTTAGACACACTGGGTTGTAGATTAATATTCTTTCGTTTTTTTTTATTATTATTATTCCATTTAGATTCCTCGACTAGTTTCGACCGAAATGGCCATCATCGGGAGGAGAAATATTTCTGCATGCTGGTAGCACTAAACTACAGAAATGAATGTCTTTTGCTGGAGAAAATGAACTTTTTTCTGTAGTTTTCATTTGTTTTTTTTTATTTTTTTTTATCTTTTTAACATGAATCTTTTAAAATTCCTTGTGTTGGTCAAACAGTCTCTTTTAAGTTGTTATTTGAGATAAGAGCTGGATACATACATATTATTCTGAATTCTCTGTCAGTTTGATATATATATATATATATATATATATATATATATATATATATATATATATATATATATATATTTGCAAAAATAATGTCGTTTTTTGACGTTATGTTGAACGTCAAAAACGACATTATTTTTTACCAACTCAAATATATATATACAGTAATTTTTGGTCGAGCCTATGGGCTCAGATAACCCACAATAAATTCGGCTTTGTGCCACATCTGACCGCGTGAGGTGGTTGGTAGATATCCTAGAGTTGGAGATTCGCCCCCAGCTGTGCTGGTCAAACTCTCTACCTCCGAGCAGAGAGAATCCCCAGGCGAGGCTTCGTCTCGTCTCGAGAAACAGCTATCCAACCTCCTTTTATACAGGGTCTACGGGTAATTTCTGGCCGAGCCTACGGGCTCGGATACCCCACATTAAATTCGGCCTTGTGCCACATCTGACCGCGTGAGGTGGTTGGGAGATATCTTAGAGATTCATTGTGGAATTCATTTGACTCACTTCTACCCGCTGGCGAATCTTATATGTGTTGTTCTTGTCCTGAGTATTATCGTTAATTAACAACCTTCGTTTGATTATTCTATTCAGTAACCTTTCGTAGGTTACAACAATTTTATAGACAGTGGGTACCTACAATCACCCCCACCGGCGATGACAACCTTTTGAACATATTTATAAACATTTATCTGTCTTTATTTCTGAGATGAGATATTATGTACACTACTTACATTATTCAGACTATTGTCTTCATCTTTTTCGCTATATTTATTACAACGTTTCGGCCGTTATAAGCTCCGGCCTTCTTCAGGTGGTTGGAATATCGAACTAAACCCTTTATTTCGCTCACTATTCTAGTTCCACGTGCCATGTTTAATGGATGTCAGTTATCAGTTTTCTCTGTAAGTTCTCGACTGCCTTAACCGGGTATTGAACTCACGTCCTGTGTTCGTCTTTGCGTCCTGTTATTGGATTTAACCAACGTCTTTATCCACTGTGCCATGTGTCCTGTAGATGAGATTAGTTTGTTACTAACACGGTAGTGTCTGAAAAAAAAAGTAGAGACGTTATTAAACAAGCTAAAATTTCTGTAATCAATGATGGATAAAAAACTTATATTCTCCAAGTTCTCCAGTGCCGTGAAAGTGTATTGAACTCACACTTTTTGGGTCCTGTCACTGGACCTAACTAACTTGAGGTCACATGGCACATGGATAAAGGTGTTAGTTAGAGATGGCGGTGAGGAACTTGGAGTAGGGAATTAACAGGAGATAACTGATAGCTGACATCCATTAAACATAGCACGTGGAACTAGAACAGTCTACCACAGTGAACGAAATTAAGGGTTCTCTTCGACGTTCCAACAACCCGAAGAAGGCTGGAGCATGTGGTTGAGGGTTTTGGTCATTTACGGGCGTTGGGATTTGTGATATGGGGCGTAGTATGGTGTAGGTTTTTCGTCATTTACGGGGTTGAGATTTGGATATGGGCGTAGCATGTGGTTTAGGGCTTTGGTCATTTACGGGTTGATTTGTGATATGCATGTGGTTTAGGGTTTTGGTCATTTACCGGGTTGGGATTTGTGATATGGGGCGTGGTATGTGGTGTAGGGTTTGGTCATTTACGAGCGTTGGGATTTGTGATATGGGGCGTGAAGTATGTGGTTTAGGTTTTTGGTCATTTACGGGCGTTGGGATTTGTGATATGGGGCGTAGTATGTGGTGTAGGGTTTTGGTCATTTACGGGCGTTGAGGTGATATGGGGCGTAGCATTTTGTTGGGATTTGTGATATGGGGCGTAGTATGTGGTTTTTTGGTCATTTACGGGCGTTGGGATTTGTGATATAGGGCGTAGCATGTGGTTTAAGGCTTTGGTCATTTACAGGCGTTGGGATTTGTGATATGATTGTGGTTTTGGTTTTGGTCATTTACGGGCGTTGGGATTTGGATATGGGGCGTAGCATGTGGTTTAGGTTTTGGTCATTTACCGGCGTTGAGATTTGTGATATGGCGCGTAGTATGTGGTTTAGGTTTTGGTCATTTACGAGCATTGGGATTTGTGATATGGGGCGTAGTATGTGGTTTGTAGGGTTTTGGTCATTTACGGGCGTTGGGATTTGTGATATGGGGCGTAGTATTTGTTTAGGGTTTTGCTCATTTACGGAGGTTGAGATTTGTGATATAGGGGCGTGGTTTAGAGTTTTGGTCATTTACGGGCGTTGGATTTGTTTTGGGGCGTAGTATTTACGGGCGTTGAGATTTGTGATATGGGCGTAGCATGTGGTTTAGGGCTTTGGTCATTTACGGGCGTTGATTTGTGATATGGGGCGTAGCATGGGTTTAGGGTTTTGGTCATTTACGGGCGTTGGGATTTGTGATATGGGGCGTAGTATGTGGTTTAGGGTTTTGGTCATTTACGGGCGTTGGGATTTGTGATATGGGGCGTAGTATGGGGTTTTGGTCATTTACGGGCGTTGGGATTTGTGATATCAGGCGTAGTGTGGTTTAGGGTTTTGGTCATTTACGGGCGTTGGGATTTGTGATATGGGGCGTAGCATGTGGTTTAGGGTTTTTGGTCATTTACGGGCGTTGGGATTTGTGATATGGGCGTAGCATGTGGTTTCAGGTTTTTGGGTAATCTACGGGGTTGGGGTTTTTTGTGATATGGGGCGTATGGTTTCAGGTTTTGGTCATTTACGGGCGTTGGGATTTGTGATATGGGGCGTAGCATGTGGTTTAGGGTTTTGGTCATTTACGGGCGTTGAGATTTGTTACATGGCGCGTAGCATGTGGTTTAGGGTTTTGGTAATTTACGGGGGCTGGGATTTGTGATATGGGGCGTAGCATGTGGTTTAGGGTTTTGGTAATTTACGGGGTTGGGATTTGTGATATGGGTAGCATGTGGTTTAGGGCCGCGTTAAGATTTGTGATATGGGCGTAGCATGTGGTTTAGGGTTTTGGTCATTTACGGGCGTTGGAATTTGTGATATGGGGCGTAGTATGTGGTTTAGGTTTTGGTCATTTACGGGCGTTGGGATTTGTGATATCGGGCGTAGCATGTGGTTTAGGGTTTTGGTCATTTACGGGCGTTGGGATTTGTGATATGGGCCGTAGCATGTAGTTTAGGGTTTTGGTCATTTACGGGCGTTGGGATTTGTGATATGGGGCGTAGCATGTGGTTTAGGGCTTTGGTCATTTACGGGCGTTGGGATTTGTGATATGGGGCGTAGCATGTGGTTTAGGGTTTTGGTCATTTACGGGCGTTGGGATTTGTGATATGGGGCGTAGTATGTGGTGTAGGGTTTTGGTCATTTACGGGCGTTGGGATTTGTGATATGGGGCGTAGCATGTGGTTTAGACTTGGTCATTTACGGGCGTTTTTGGGTTTTTTAGGGTTTTGGTCATTTACGGGCGTTGGGATTTGTGATATGGGGCGTAGTATGTGGTGTAGGGTTTTGGTCATTTACGGGCGTTGGGATTTGTGATATGGGGCGTAGCATGTGGTTTAGGGTTTTGGTCATTTACGGGCGTTGGGATTTGTGATATCGGGCGTAGCATGTGGTTTAGGGCTTTGGTCATTTACGGGCGTTGGGATTTGTGATATGGGGCGTAGCATGTGGTTTAGGGCTTTGGTCATTTACGGGCGTTGGGATTTGTGATATGGGGCGTAGCATGTGGTTTAGGGTTTTGGTAATTTACTGAGGTTGGGATTTGTGATATGGGGCGGCATGTGGTTTAGGGTTTTGGTCATTTACAGGCGTTGGGATTTGTGATATAGGGCGTAGTATGTGGTGTAGGGTTTTCGTCATTTACGGGCGTTTGGGATTTGTGATATGGGGCGTGGTTTTTAGGTTTTGGTCATTTACGGGCGTTGATTTGTGATATGGGGCGTAGCATATAGTTTAGGGTTTTGGTCATTTACGGGGGTTGGGATTTGTGATATGGGGCGTAGCATGTGGTTTAGGGTTTTGGTCATTTACGGGCGTTGGGATTTGTGATATGGGGCGTAGCAGGATGTTAGATTTATTTGTTCCTGCATATTCGCGGCTGAGTGTAATTTTTCTGATTCTCTGTTTCAGGTCGATTCGTCTACTTCCTAGAAAACCTAACGACAAACACGACGATGCTCACAATTCTCGCTATCAGCCTGGAAAGATATTTCGCCATTTGTCACCCTTTGCGAAACTACAGCATGTTCAGCGGGTCGCGGGTGACCAAAGTCATTCTATCCGTGTGGCTTCTGGGCGCCGTTCTCAGTTGTCCGTTTATATGGGTTTCGCAACAGGTCTGGATCCGCTTCCATGACGGACGCCAGGGATACGTCTGCGAGAGCCAGTTCAGGAAGCCGTGGCACCACGTCTATCTCTGCGTAATGTTTGCTTGCGTCTTCATTCTGCCCTTGCTTCTGCTGCCGATATTCTACGTCAAGATCATCTGGACCCTAGTCACACACAATCTGCAAGGCTCGGCCGATAGCCGCAAGAACTGCGCCACAATGCGTTCCAGAAAACAGGTAAGTTATTTCACCCGGGGTGGATTGTTGTTGGTAAAACGTGAAACGAACATAACTTACTTTCTTTTTTTTTAATGGTAGCTTTCTTAAATTTTTAGATACTTCTTATCGCAAATTTTTTATCAGCCTGCCACGCGATGATTAGACAGCGCAGGGTCGGGAATGAAGGCTACGCCCTCGATGAGATATGCATCGAGGAAACATCCCTGTACATAGCAGCTGCTTTAAATGCTGCGAGGGACGTTTAAAAAGTTCTAAGCTTCACCCAGAACGAATTGGGGAAACCAGACAGTTTTCGCTATTTTCAATATAGCCCCTCTTGGCATCAGTGAACTTGGTCCAGCGATGTTAAGCACTGCAACCCCATCAAGGAAAAAAAAAGGTGTCCGGTTCCACGAAAAACCCCATAACACATATCATCACATAACTGTTTCCAAATTAGTGGAATTTGAGTTTAAGAACAAGGAAGACGCCAGATGGAGCCAAGTCTGGTGCGTAAGGGGAATGGGCATGGCCGAATTAAGACCCATAAGGTCTCTAAGCACTTAAAAGATTTACTCAGCTGGGGGAGAAGAAGAGGATTCACACCTTTCCCAAGGGTATTAGCACGTAAATGAATGTAATGGATTCGATTGAAAAGTCATCAGTTATGTACCATACGTGATAGACGCTTAGGCGATCATGTATCTTTCGTTACATGACTGACGAGGCAGATTTTTTCTCCCGCAGTAGGTTGCCATTTCTTTCTGCGGTAGACCAGTTGCCATCCAAGGCTATAGGACCCGTTCTGTTCTACTATTTACCCATAGCTGGGGGTGGAGAAGAAGAGGACACGGTAGAGAGTAGAAGAGGAATAGTCAGTCAGTCAGTGAGTTATATGCCATGCGTGATACACGCTTATGCGATCATGTATCTTTCGATACATGACTGACGAGGCAGATTTTTTTCTCCCGCGGTGGACCAGAAGAGGATTCATACCTTTCCCAAGGGTATTAGCACATAAGTGAATGTAATGGATTCGACTGGAATGTCATCAGTTCAGTTATGTGGCATGCATTATACACGCTTAGGCGATCATGTATCATTCGATACATAACTGACAAGACAGATTTTTCCCCGCAATAGGTTGGCATTTCTTTCTGTGGTAGACCACTTGCCATCCAAGGCTCCAGAACCTGGTCTATTTACCCATAGCTTAGAGAGAAGAAGAGGATTCAAACCTTTCCCAAGGGTATTAGCACGTAAGTGAATGTAATGGATTCGACTGGAATTCGAACTCGGCTCTCCTATTCTCAATCCGAACCGCTATCCATTACTCCACCGTACCTTCATTAGTCCTCACACCCTCTAAAATAGCCATACTTTGACTGATCAAAATGTTAGAGATTGTTGGGTAATTATAGAATGGTAAGCGTCACATAGAAGTTAAGAAGTCAATTCTAGTCAGAATTCTCGTTAATGGAGTTAATACTATACTTATTGCGTTAGAAGTTTATTGTCTTACCCAGGACGCGGATGTAGTTTATCGTCAAACCCAGGACGGTGTAATTTTTTAGCAGTCGGCAGCTAATAGGAGTTAGCCAAGGCGGCAGGTGAAGCCGTTTTGATACAGCAGCTGATAAGTAGTGAGCTGTGTTAAGACTAGGGCTTAGATTTTGTAAACAAACTCAATTCGAATGTTTTGTAATATAATATACTCGAAATAATATGCGAAAATGTGAGTAATTAATTAAGGTTTGAGAATTTCAGTTTGGTTAAGAAACAGACGAACGACACCTAGTCAAAGGTTAACAGAAAAACTAATTCTGTGAACAAATATAATAGCTTTTATAACCAGTATATCGGCTCCAGAAAGAAAAGAGTAGATTTAGTAATCTCATAAGTTTATTTGGTTGATAAAGATTTTTCCACGTGGTTAGAACGAAAGGTTATAAGTTTATTGGTTAATAAACATTTTCTCACGTGGTTGGAACCTTCGCATTCAGACGGGTTCGAATCTCGCTATTTGTCAGGAATGAAGATAGCTCTGACTGACACCAAACCGGTTGGGTTTCAATCCTGGCATTCGGATGTCAAGTCGCACTGAGGAGCCGTGATACAGCGAAGCAGTACTGTCTGCGAATGACATAACTAAGCTCTTGAAAATATATTTCAGTTGAGCACTGTTGGGTGTTAGGCTAATTCTATACACGTTAATCCAAAGCTCTTCAGTAAAATGAACTAGAGCACTCCGGCTGATTGGCATTTGTTTAATTCGTAAAAACAATACGCTAGATTTAGCTGTTTCTCTCTGTCGAATGAAGATAGCTCAGTGGTAGAAGCTCTGGCTGACGATCCGAGCTTGAGATATTCGGATGTCTATCGCACTGAGGAGCTGTGAAACAGTATTGTCTCGAATGACACACACAAACAACAAACACACACACACACACACACACACACACACACACACACACACACATATATATATATATATATATATATATATATATATATATATATATAAAAGATGTTTTTGTAGGTACAAAATTTAATGATCGAAATAAAAGTATAAAATGTAATATTACGAGACATGTTAAACAAAAAAAAATAAAAGAAAGTGGTGAAGCCTGAAGAGCGGGAGCGAAACCGGTTGCTTCACCTCTTTTTTTTCTGTTTAACATGTCTCGTAATATTAAATTTTATACTTTTATTTTGATATATATATATATATATATATATATAACCTCCGAATCCGTTATGAATGAATTGATCCTTGTTTCCATAAAAAAAAAGAACTAATAATAAGAACTAATACGGCAGAAATTTATGGAAACAAGGATCAATTCATTCATAACGGATTCGGAGGTTTTTGTATATTATTTGAATTGTTTGCGATGATGGATTTCTCGCCAATTAAATCATTAACCTTTGCTTTTGTTTTTGTGTGAATAATTCATGAATTTGTAAATTGATTGCACGTTTATCGTAATTTAAATAACTGATCCAAGTGCGACTTTTGGATAATAAGTGCGACATTACTGTAATTATTGAATAATATAGTTCATGCCACTTTGACAGAAAATTTACCAGTAAAAAAAATCGTTCATCACCATATTTATACGAACGCACAAATTTTTAAAAAAATTTAAAATCAAACTCAGCGTTGCTACTGCGCGCTCCAAAAACAATAACTCATTTTCAATAGCATTTTCGGATACAACAATACAGATATTTTCGTTGTCCTTTTATTACTAAGAGAAAAAACAAGAACAACATCTATTCCATACCTGAAGATGTCTGTAGGAACAGACGAAAGCTTGTAGTAAAAATAAGGACTAATGCAACAGAAATTTATAAAAACAAGGATATTTTCATTCATAACGGATGCGGAGGTTTTTGTATATTATTTGAATTGTTTGCGATGATGGATTTCTCGCCAATTAAATCATTAACCTTTGCTTTTGTTTTTGTGTGAATAATTCATGAATATATATATATATATATATATATATATATATATATATATATATACACACATATATATATATATATACATAAGTTTTTTATGGTAAAAAAATTTAATGAGAGCTAGGAATAAGCAAAAATTTTTATGGCATTTTAAAAAGCTAAAAAACAACCGGTATCGTCCCAGCCTTATCAAGTTTATTTCTGGGTTTAAAAAAAAAAGCATGTAAACTTAATATTAATGATGACGAATGAAGGGGAAAAATATGAATTTCAAGAAAACTAGAGTCCAATAACATTCAGACCCTGTAGACATGCCCTCTGTTTATAGAGGGAAGGCCCACGGGATCTGATATACAAGGACTCTAGAACCTTGAGGTGATATGAGGAGTGGGACCTAGATAAAATCGAGAAACGGTCGCCACTAAAATTAAGAACGCAATTCCTGCTATTTCTTACATGCTCAGTAATAGAAGAGCCAGAAGTATTGGTTAGTTGGTTTCTTCCTGGTATCCGGATTCAAAATCCGGGGGGGGGCAAGCATGGTTTTACTCTCGAATCCAAACGCTGAGACGTCCTCCCTATGTAGTCGAGTCCACAACTACATTTATATTTATAAATCACTGAATTAACATAATGCGGGTGAGGAGGGCGTCCTTACGAATGGAAGAGAAAACAGGACAGTTAACAAATATTACCCGAATATTAGCCGAAAAATAACAGCTTGATAAGAGTGGGACGAAACCGGTAGTTTTTTTAGCTTTTTAAAATATTTTTTTTTCATTTCGGATGATAAATCATATAAAAACTGTCCGAATGTTCTTTTTACCCGAGCGCTTTCGGCTATACATTTAATAATTAAATAATACATAATAATTAAAATAATTAATTATAATAATTAAAATAATTGTCGGACTTTGTCCATTTCATAATGTGTGACGTCATTTGCTTACATCTGGATACGCCATGAGCAGATATGAATGTACGGGAGAGAATCATGAAGATTGTAGTTTAAAGACAGTAAAATTCGACCTTGCTAACCGAACGCTCCTCTGTGGCCGAATCGGTTAAAGGCACGTCAAGCTAAATGACGGTTTCCGTATAGGATACAGGTTCGAATCCTGTCGGAGGATGAATATTTTCCGTGAAAATTTCTCGGATATTCAGGCCGGTAAATGTTGTTTAATACTGTTTATTATAAACAGTGCATTTAAATCTATAAATATTTGTATCTATAAAAAGAATAAAATATTTAAATATTTGTATCTATAAAAAAATGTATAAACATAAAAAAATGTTTTCTTTCTTTTTTTTATATATATATATATATATATATATATATATATATATATATATATATATATATAACACATTGAGTGCTCTATGTAAAATAACAGAGCTACTAACTTATATTTCTACCTTTGTTGCCTAAAGTATATAAATTTTGTGGATTTGCGTGTTTTACTTTTTTTCCATTGATTTATGTTTAATTTAATTATATATTTTTTATTTTTTAAACAATCCCCGTAAATAATATAGACTGTTCCACTATT